AGCTCGTTAGGGGAAAGGGAAGTAATATAAAACCCAAGATGTTAAGGGTTAAATAAGGTTATTTATTAACAAAAGTAAACAGGGTAAACAAAAAGAGAGGCGGCACAAGAAAAACAAAGATACCCAATAACGCAATTAACACAAAGAACACAAGCAGCTAACAAAAGAAAAGCAAAACAACAAACCACCAGATCTCCAACAGAGCTGCACTTAGCTTTACGCTAGAAAACCAAAAACACACAACCTTAGCTCTCACATTGTTTCACTCGGCTCTAATCAATTAACAACAATCACACAAGCGCTGGTACACAGCGCGGCGGCGAGTCTGCATACGGGCAACACAGATCGCCACGAACAACTGAATGACAGTTCTTTTATACGCGGGGTGGAGACGAGAGGCGGGCCCAGCTGATCAGGAGAGATGGCTTGCAGCTGGAGCATTGAAGGTGCGGCGGAAAGGTGGAACACAACACAACCACACACACAGGGAAAGACAAAGGTCCCCCGAATATGGCCACGGCCGTAACAAGCATTTCTTTATTCCATTTATTATGTCTCCATGTCGGCAACAGCCAGAGTTGGATGCATAATGTTTTCGGGCTGTCCCTCCATCTGTCTGTACATACGTCCCTCCCATTCTCGTGGACACAATATTTCAATAACGCCTTGACAGAACTTCTTCAAATTTGACACAAACATTCACTTGAATTCAAGAATGAGCTGATTAGATTTTGGTGGTCAGAGGTCAAGTTCGTGGTGTCATCACAAAAAATGCTTTATGACTTGTGATATCGATATCGCAAAAATGCCTCTCAGGAACATCTTTAAATCTGGCACAAATGTCCACTTGGACTCATGGACAAACTGATTAAAAACTGGCTAGAGGGGGCTAGAAGCCAAAACATGATTTTGGCCTTGTGAACGAAATATCTGGAGAACTCCTCAAGGGAATCCCTTCAAATTTGGTACAAACATTTACATGGACTCAAGGATGAACAGATTTTGATGGTCAAAGGTCAAAGGTCAAGGTCACTGTGACAAGGTTACTTTTTAGCCATTTCTCAAGACTTCACATAGGAATTATGACAAAATTTCACACACATGGTTCATATTTTGTACGACTCTGAATAAACAGGGATGTAACTGAAACCACTGTGGTGGTGGCAGACAACCGCGAAGAGTTGGTTCTGGTTTTTATAATGCACCACTGGATATATCTACACCATTAGTTCTTCCATCATTTTGTTGACCCCACCCAGCAGCCTGGACTCCAGAGTTAAATTTACCATCAGTGTCATCAGGTTGGAGATGGTATCCATGTTTCTGTGTTGGCTCCTGGTGAGTTGCTGTGGGCGGGTTGATAGGTTCTTGTGCAGTAGTCAAATGTTGGAGATGGGAGGATCCAGTTTTCCAGGGAGGAATAATTAAGACATACAAAGTACATGCTTCTACTGTTGTCCTCACACTGAAGGGGTAATAACCATGTTTGTTCCCTGGTTGATTATTGATTCTCAGATGTTTTCCAGTTTCCTGTTGGCTCCTGGTTTAAAAAGCTTCTCCATTTAGAAAAGGTTATTTAGCTCTCTTCTTTTTGGCTTTGCCAGCTGTGTGTTCCAGCATGTGTTTAATTCAGACGCTTGATAGATGGCAGACTGAGGTCTTTATAAGCCCATTACACTCCAGCCTTACACTGCATCTTATTCAGTCTTCCTGATGATTTCAGCTAAATGTTCCCCAGAGTGGAAGTGGAAGTTCAGAAGAGCCCCTCTGTCTGTTCTCTTCTTTGCTGAAAGAAAACGATCTGTGATGGGACGTATAGCTAATGTGTATGAATTCAATCTGAAGTGAGCTCATAACTCATCTGAGCTAATCCAGTCATCCTGTTGAGATCAGTTGTGCTCAGTGGAAATGGGAGTCCTTAGTCCACAGAGCTGCAGTGATGCATTGACTCAAATCAAGACAGTGAGAATGCTGAAACAGAACTTAATTGTGGCATGTTTATGTTCAGATTTAATTAGCTTGTATAAAGTTGATGGATTGTCATGTGCAGGCATGAGACAGCGGTTTCTGCATTCACAGTAAGTCCATCATCAGGGGCCAGGTCAGTGTTTGGGGGCTGAGCTCCCCCAGCTTTAAACAGGTCAGTAGTTTTTTGGGGCAAACTGAGGTATTGATTATGTAAACAGGTAATTAAGTCAGTGTCTGCTTGTATCTGTGGAAAACTGTGGGAGTGGAAATCAAGCTTCTGTGTCAACGTTCATGATTATCGAGATTTGAAACATGTTCACGTAAAGCTGTCAAAAAGAATACATATGGATATTTTTGTCATTGTTGTGAATCTACAGATGGATTTATGTCCCTTGGTACAGGGTTAGCAGCGTGTTAGCAGAGGTGGTTCAGACTTAGGCTCGAATTTAATTTAATATCCAGTTACAGTCCAGCCCAAACAGCAGACGACTTTATGACTTTATGAAAGTATTTATCAGCTACAAGGACAAACGGTATTAAATAGAGATACTAATGTACAGACAACACTTACACATGAAGTAATCCTTCACATGTTTGTGACTGATCTCACTGTGCCCATAAAACATAATAATCACAAAATAACTGGTTAAACAAGACTCGTAGTGAAGGGATATCAAATGTGATGTGCTTATCCTCCCAAAGTCAGACATTAACCAGCTGATTTTATCTTTATCTTAGCCATACACTTATTGATCCAGCTCAGACTATTACTATTTAAAAAAAAAAAAAAAAATTAATTCAGAACATGATTTGAATTGATTGGGCTGGTTTGTCTCAGCCATGTTTTAAGATTTGTGGTAAACTAAGATAATCAGTTAGGTTTACATACAGACAGCTTTCGTTGTAGCGTTAGCTAACAGTTCACTATTAGCTTAACCAACGTGATGTTGTTGTGTGAAGGACTCTGGGAGTCGGTGAAGATAATAGATGAAAATATCACTTCTCTGTTTGTTGCTTGTCGAACAGATGGTTGGATAAAGTTGTTATTGGCTTTTTACTTTTTATTGCACTTACAGTAACGTAAAGTTCAGTGATAGTTGTGTCAGCTCCAGTAATCTTCAGTTATCTTTCCTCCACCTGGTTCTGTGTCCGGCACAGCCTCTGCATTGCTGTTTGCTTCGTGTGTGTGTGCTGTGTACCTGCAGCCCCACTTCTCCCAAAGAGCAGGGCAGAGGACAGAGAAGCAGTGCGACCATAGATGATTTAGAAAATAAATAGTGACTGGCTGCCACTAATAAATCATTGTATGGGAAGCGATTTTTCAACGCATTTTCATAGTCGGCGTCGTTGATTATGGTGACTAATTGCGGCAGCCTTACTAAATATTGCAATATACAATGTTATTACTATTTAGCAGTAACTTCAAACAAGCTGAACAGGCAAACCGGGTACAGGCCCTGGGGCCCAAGGAGTCAGGGACTCCCAGATTACCATTCAAAAATTTTCAAATCGGTACAGATACCAATACCTTCACCTTGATACAAATTCTTAACAATACTGATTTTATCAAATCCATTTTAACAAAAAGAAACACACACTCAAACATGTTTATTTAAATAAACAGCCAATCACCAACATTATTAGACCTTGCTCCAAGCATGCTTAATGCTGATTGGCTGCATTCTGACTGCTCATAATACATAATTATATCACTGTATTTTATGTTTCACATATGAGCGATGCTGCCAAGAAGCAATTTTTCTTTTTTTTAAAATGTGGCAGGAAATAACGCAATATTCAATATTATTGAAAATCAGCCCAAGCCCAGTAAGCATGGTGATTCATGTTAGTTTTAGCCTGATGTTGGACCAGTTGTGAATGACTGGTCTGTTTGTCTCTACTTTTCTCAACTCAGGTTTGTTTTCCCTTCTGATTGACCACAAAGAGAACATAAAGTGCTGTGTGATGTTTCACCACTGTTCCTTCTCCCTGAAGCTTAATATCAATAAAAATAATCAAACAAATTTGTTCTTAAAGCTCCATATAGTATAAAGGTAAATATCCATGTGTTGTTTGATTATAAAGCAGGTCCTCCTGCTGCTCCTCCTGCTCACACCCCTCTACTCATCCTCCTATCATTACCAGCCTGCTCTGCCTCCACACACCTGTTCCGCATTGACTCATTATCCCCTCAGTAATTATACCAGTCAGTTTCTCTCTGTTGTTGCCAGATCGTTGTTTGTGCTATGCCTGGCTATCCCGCCTGTTTTCGTGTTCTTGACCTCTGGATTTTTGACCTGTGCCTGTTTCTCGGAATTGTGCTTTTGCCTGACCCCTCGGTACCTCTGCCTGATCACTTTTGGTTTTTTGACACTGACTGTATTTTTGCTCAACGAATACTCAGTAAAGTTTTTCTGTTTGCCTTACGTCCGCCTCTGCCTGTTGATTCTGCGTGTGGATCCTCTCTGGTTTGTGACAAAAACACATGAGAAGAAGAAATTATGTAGCTTTAATGTTAGTAGTGGAAAAAATATCCAGCTACCATCCATATCATGTTTACCTCATGTGTCTTTCCACATTGAAACTGAATATTTTCTCAAAATTTACTTTCATTGTAACCCTGTTTGCTTTTTATGTCTCTGCATTGATGACAGTCAGAGCCATATTGTTTTCAGGCTGTCTGTCCGTCTCATTCTCGTGGACACAATATCTCAATAATGCCTTGATGAAACTTCAAATTTGGTACAAATGTTCACTTGGACTCAAGGACAAACTGATAAGATTTTGGTGGTCAAGGGTCAATGGTCAAGGTCAGTGTGACCTCACAAAACACATTTTAGCAATTACTTAAGACTTCACACAGCAATTACGACAACATTTAACACAAATCAGTGGTATAATGACACTTGACTGTGCAGTTGACCCTGTTGATCTCACTGCTCTCTCACCTCTTATCAGTGTTAAGCTGCCTCACATGTCTTTGTAAGCAGTCCTACGTCCCATTAATCTCCCTCCTTTTTTGTGTCCTCCAGGGCCGAGGACGGGAAGGACAGTGACGGCACAGTGGCTTTCTCAAGGCCGGATCAAGAGGGAGGCTGAAACCCTGACACAGGTTAGAGATGAGAATGAGATGTGAAGGTCACAAGTTTTTTCCAACAGTCACAGTCTGGTTTTATGGCTGGATGGAGGATTCTGTTTGTGTGGTTATGCGCTTGTATACTAGGGGAACACTTGGCTTTGTGGTTTGACCATTGATACAGAAGCTTTTTATTGCCTCATTTTCAGCCCAGACTCCACAACATCCCCACTGGTCCACACACACATACTGTACATACACCCATGCTCACACAGGTGGGAGACAAACACATTTAGAACAAAACAAAGACGTCCTTTCCAGTGCTGTTGAAGTGTTCTGTGAGTTTGGTGGCTTCCTGGTGGAGTAAAGCCCTGCCCTGTCTCCTTTGTTCTTCTCACAGAGTTAGCTGTTCCATGTTAAATCTGCTGTGACTCCTGTTGCTTGGAAAATCAGCTGGCTAACCTTGTGTTGTAGCCACTGATTCTGAAGAGAACTTGGTTCACTCTCAGTTAATTCTAAACAGGTCGCTGCTGTTGAGGAGAAGAGTTGCAGTCTGCTGTGAGCAGGCCGGGAAGAGAGCTGCTGTCTCAGATAGCAGGCCTGACCTGCGCTGGGGCCTTGTTGCTCCTTGAAGAGCCGAGAGAGAGAAGGAGCTGCTGCTCTTAAGCCAGCCAAGGAGAGAAGAGAAAGAACAGAGAAGGAGATCTGGTCTTGTGTGGTGACACCCTGGGGGGTCACATGTCACACACTGACTGGTCAGTGAGGTCCCTGGGGGAGGGTCATCCCCAGGTGTGAACAGTGAAGAACTGTGGGGAAGTGAGTTACTTTGTCTGTGGAACAAAGAAACACATGGTTTCCAGAATCTTGAATGTACTAGAGTCCCAACACATTTATTTGTAGAGAAAAAAGAAATCTCCTCAAAACCTCCTTTTCGCCTTTGACCCAAAAACAAAATAAATGAAAACTGAAATGAATGGAAACAAATGACTGGTAGCTTATTCTGTTGTTGCACTAATGCTCTCATACCTCCTGTAGGAGGTTGAAGAGGCTGTGAATTGGGTGCGTAGGGGTCCATCATTGGGTGCACTGTGCTTCATAGGTGTGTTGTGTGTAGGGAAGTGAGGTGATGAATGATGCAGGTGGTCAGGCTGCTCTGGGCGGGGTCTGTGTGGACTGTGGTGAGGACGGGTGGAAGGAGTGCTGTCATGTGTGAGGTCAAAGAGAGGTTCTCTGTGATCTGCACCCCCAGGACCTGTGTACCACAGCAGTGCTAACAATGATCAGTGGTGTGTGGTCAGCACGTTTCTCCTCTTCATGTTTACTATGTCTATGTTACAACTGGCTCGCAACCAAGAAGGAAGCAGAAACAAACTTAGATCTATTAAAGTAAAGAACAATAATGAGTGGTAGTCAGGGTTACATATGTTTAGGGAAAGGTTGTTGCTGCTGCTGCTGCTGAGTAACTGTGGTTGAACTTTATGTCATTGATATCTGTTGCTGTTGATGTGGAGCTGGCCGGACACATCCTGCTAAGCATGGGCCTGTGGCTCGATGCCACTCTGTACAGATGTCCTTGCTTGGCCTTATGTCTGCCTTGGCAAGAGAAGGACAGTTTGGGAGGATTTGTGGGGGTGAGAGGAAAAGAGAGAGTGTAGCCAAAGCTTGAGGCGACACAACCAGAGAGCAACCATGAGTCTTATCCAACAAGAAAACAAGAACATTTTAATTCTTTCATTCTCTTTCATCCTGACTTTTATTCTACATGAACAGAGGCCAAGAGAAAGGCCTTGGCTAATAAATAGTTGCTTAAAATACATTCTAAGATTGCGCATGTAATACTGAGTTGTAATTAATAGATTGTTTTTACCACAGAAAATCAAGGTTGTATTAGGATCCTTCTCTGTCAAACACAGAAGCTGGGTTTGTTATATTTGACTAAAGAGGCCAAACAACCCAATGTAATTTGTTGTGTAAGGATAAGGAGAAGTGAAAGTATTTTGCTCTTTTTACGCTGTTATATTTAGGCAGGAGGGGGAGGGGGTACTCACTGATGGTTGAGCCATTGTGCGCTGACAATCTGCCGCAGGTTGAGTTGAGGACATCTCCTCACTCTAAAAAAATGGTCAAAATGAACATAAAAAATAGATGGATAAAGAGGCAAATCGTTGTTTTTTCCCACAGACTGTAAATAAAGATGGACTTAGCCTCCCTATAGTCACTTTTAAAACTAATTAAACAAGATCCAGGTTTTAAAAAACTCATCATCCTCAGGGAATGGAAGTTAATAAATTCCTCTTTTTCAGAACGAAAGGTTTTCCTTCGTTTTTTGAGTTTGATTTCATTGTTGTGCCTGACTCAGGAAGGACAGTGAAATGACTGGAGCTCTGGAGCTCAGACCTAAAAGTGTCTAAGTATAGCAGCACGTCAGGCCTTTGTTAGCTTATCCTCACTTTCCTGTTGCTGATTTACTGCCAGGCTCAAGCCAGCTCCCCCCGACGGGTACCATGTAATTGACGGTGATCACTGGAGGCGTCTGGCTGCCTCTTGTGCATCTTAATGCTCACAATAATGGGAAAGTGGAGCCTTGCTGAGAAACATAACCACACAGAATAATTCAGGTCCATACATTCATCTGCATACCAGAGTCCTGGCACTAACCTGCATGCTAACGAGTGGATATTGATGCTTGACTGGCCGATGGTAGCGTTAGAGGAAATGAAGAGGGTTAGTGTCAGTACAGGGGAGATCAATGGGATTAAAAAGCAATGAGAAAGCAAGGTTGAGGAATAAAGTGGTTGGTGGCACATTTCTAAGACCTCTCTTTTACATGATGAGAATGTTGACAACTGTTGACAACATTTTGTAATAGGCATGCTCCACCTTGAGACAAGTCTTCAGAAGTCCTGTAAGAACCTACACTGGGTCCACACAGCTCACCTCCTCTGCCTAGTTTTTCCGGCATAGCCAGATGGCTAATTTGGCAGTAGCTGATATGAAGTTTAATGGTGTGGACACTAGACACATAAATATTTCACACTGTGAACAAAATAGACACACCTCCCCTTGGTCAGGCTCCAGGTGCGCTCTGTTACTGTTTGTGGCTGTCGCCCCAAGTCCAATCTTTCACTGGGGGTCAGTTGGACACCTTTCAACCGCTTCAGCTAGTACAGGGACCGCCAGCAGCCTTTCAGGGAAGAGCCTGGGCCAAAAAACTCAGTCCACTTCAATGCTGTCATGGCCTGCAAAGACTAGAAGTGGCTCACCTTCACACAGAGGATAAAAGTTGCCTTTTTTTCGAAGTCATCAAACTGACCAAGCTGTAAGGTCTTGAAAGAAGGGAGGCAGCTCTTTCTTAATAAACAGTAAAGTGGATTTGATTGTCAAATCCTTCAGACAAACTGTGCTCCTCAAGCTGTGTTCTGACTAAGATTGGCTTTGTGTGAAATTAACAACTCCCTGATTCATTTCATTGAGACTGACTCACTGAGTCAGTCTGGTGCCAAAACAAAGTGTCCTGGTAAAAACATAGAGGGTGGTGGTGAAAAAGTGAAGCTCAACTTTTGATGCAACTCAATGAGACAGCTTCCTGCAATTTAGAATGTTGGCGAGTCAGATATGTACAAATTCACATTCCTGGTCAATTACTTTGTAATGTGAACTGGTCTCAGACCTTGGTTGTGAAATCCTTTCTTATGATGTTAGGAACTGCAGTGTAAAAGTATTTAATAATCATAATTAAAGGGTGGTCCTACTGTTAAGATGGGGTCGCTGGGTAAAAGGGGGAACTCCTCAACGGAACGCTCCACGTGTTCTAAAGAAACCAGCTGCTGCTGTGCCTCGGAAGGAGGAACACACGTCTCTACTCTCAAGTTGTAAGTCCTGCCAACAACACCAGTTTGTGGTGAGAGGAGGGGGGTGTCAGAAATGGTGGTATAAATGAGGGATGGTATTTTTTAAATGGTACCATATTAAATCAAAAGAAAGCCAAACAACGCCACCCTGGGAATTTCACCCAGAGTATTACTATTTTTACCAGTACCAATATAGAGAAAGCACTCAGGTTCGTTTTACATAAGGAGCCAGAGATATGGTTCAGGTTAGATACACTGAATTTTTGTTTTATTAGATGTCAAAAATAGTAAAAATTTGTTAAAATGACATTCACGCCAATACTTATTAAGAAAGTGGGGAGGAAGGCCTAATCAGAGCTGAGGCCCACTGGTAGAGAGCTGGGTCAGGAGCTGGGGTAGGAGGTATCCCAAAGAAAGTCACCCCAGTCGCTCAGGACACACACACACACACACACTCAATAGTGAAAATCAAGCCCGGGGTTCATGAAACAGCACACAAGAAGGAGATCCGCTGGAGACACCAATCCCACCACTTTAGGCTCTCAGCTTCTGAAAAGGACAGGAAAGAAAATCAGTCAGTGGCGTTACAAACACAAAATACCTAATCTAATAGAAAACAAAATAAAGCAAATTTACCGCTAAAGGAAAATAACTAAACAGAATAGGAAAAAAAAATCAATTCGAAATAAACGGAATAACTTAAATCACAAAATAATAACAAAATCACAATGATCTGCAACTTAACCACAATAAACTTAGTAAAGTTAACAAAATACTTATTGCAAGTTGCAGTTTCAACTTAGTTTTTACCAACAAATCAATAAAAAAAATAAAGTGAAATGATAAGCAGCTAGGGAACAAATTAATGAAATAATTGGGTCAGGTTAACCACGTGGGATGGTCAGACACAAAACAGAGCGAGGAGTGTAAATTAACCCCACGGTCTTCACATCCATACACTTTAGAATGGCTCAGGGTAAAGGAAAGCTACATCCATATACAGCCATACAATTAGAAGTCAAATGCTCCAGCCAAAGCAATATAAAGCAAGCAACAAGAAGCAGAGCAACGTGAAGCAACTAGAGCAAGCTAAGCTGAAGAAAAGCCAGAGCAAAGCAAAGCCCAAGCAAGGTGAGGGAAGGCAGACAATCCAAGACAAAGCAAACAATCCGAAGCAAAGCAGCA